GTTAAATTAAACTTTTCATTCCTGTTGTTTTCCCGCTTTTGTCTGCCTTCCTAAAAGCTTTCTATGTCCTTCTACCCCTCTGTGTTAATGACAGCATTGTAATTGGCATAAAGATAAAGGTTTGAGATAAGTTCAACCATTTTTGGCTGAAACATGATAGTGCTGGCTATAATAATAGTAAAACTGTTGGTTCCTATTCCTCAACCCACACACCCACACCCACTACACATCACATGCAAGTAAAGTTTATCAAGCAAGCATTATTTATATTTTGCAAAACTGAGGTCTGCTAATTCCTGCATACTACTTTTCGGCAGCATTTCAACTATAGTCTGAGATGGTTCAAAAAGGAAATCAATCAAACCAACCGAACATGGTCAGTGATTTTGTTACAAATAGTCATGTTGAGTCCTGGGACTCATCTTGTGAAAAGTCATGAGTCCCAGCTGAAAAAAAATGAGTCTGGAACTACACTTAATGTAACCAGCATGTAGTACTAGCTCATGTTAGTCACTGCTGATAAATAAGTATTTACTAAATTGAATACATTACTTTCTAGATTCGTAAAATTTTTATCCGAGGCAAAAGCTTCCGAAAAACCAGTTCATATGTACATGTACTGTCTTTTAAATATGAATAAATCACTAAACGTGGAAGGTTTCTCGAACTTTTACAGCCATAAAATCCCTCTGTTAGGCCTTTTAGGTCCTTTCACAGACCCCAGTGACATAGTTTTTAACTTGTAAAATCCCTGGAGGTACCCCTCCCCCCGTTCAGGCCATTATGAGGAGTACCCACCCCCTCCCCTCCCCTCATGCAGGCCCCACCCGCCCCAAGTATGAAATGTGCGGTTAGTTCTGGTGGTTGGAGACGATCACTTTGAATTTTCCAATGCCTTATTAACAAACCTGCGGAAAATGTCTGTGAATGCACCGGGCATCTGCATCTTCGAAGAAAAAGCGAAGAATCAATAGATCACTGCTGACGAGGAATTTCGTGGAAAGTGGTTGTACATTTGTAACTGTAAAATTTCAAGTGTTCAGAAAACGTTTCAACTCGCAATTCAGGCTCTAGAATGGAAACATACAAATCTTTGATACTTACGATGATGTTCCAATGATTCGCATCAACCGCAGAGCCTGATCACGTAAAGAAAGAGAAGCCATTATTACCAGGCGTTCGATTCGGAATAAGAGCGTAGACTGGGACCGAAAAAGAACTGTTCGTACCCAGTACTTATCCGTACACTGTATTTGCATGGTTGCACTTTCCAAGATGGCGGCTGTTCTCACGGAAGAACCACGTTTGGAAGAGAAAGTTAATGATGCTTCTGTTGAAGTCGATGAGGAAGCTGAGGAACTTCAAGAAAACGGTGTAGATTCTTCGAGTAAGAAAAAAAAGAAGAAGAAGAAGAAGAAGAAGAAAGGTGGGCTTCATTTGTTTGGCAAGTGAAAAAAAATATTGATGATTAATCAGTTCCTTGAAGGCTTGTATGTCGTAACAGATTTTAAGAATGTTTTCTTCTCTATGACTTGCTTTAAAGTTTAAGGTTTTTTCCCTATCTCGTTAAGAACTAGTCTTTCTTGGACTTATGTCTTAAGATTCTAAATGATGAATGTACTTCAAATATGTATTTTCTTTGCACATGAGCTTACAAAAACCGAAATTAAAAATGCGTTAATTAAAGCCAATTCTACGGATGTTATGAGCGTGTACGCAATATTAAATTTTCGCTCCCATCTTTCTATACATATAAAGTGCCATACACATGCTTAAACACCTAGTAAATTGCCTAAGAAAAGATTCAGTTGGTTAGTCAGAACCTTTTCACAAGAAAATGTAAGACTTTTAATATTTGGGAAGATTTCCACACAGTCGCATAAGTTTAAAACTTCCTTTTTTGTTATGTATAAAAAATTGATGTCAAAATTGTCAATTACTTGCAATGAAACCACTTGCCTGCATCTTGAGGTTAAACTGCATTTCACCGCGCTCTCCAAAATCTAAGTATTACATAAGTTTACACTCAGCTGAAAGCCTATTCAAAATGCATGACACTGAGAAACCATATTTTTGTGATAACAGATGCAAAATACTTTATGACTCAATTTGTAAACAAGGAGAGTTTATTAGTCTCTATAGTTGAATTTGGAATCCAGATGTTCAGTTTGCATGTGCTGCATGCAGCATACAATGCCTGTCATGCATGCACAAGATCTCTTCAAGTTCTGCCATCCCCTACAGACTGGCACTGGAGTTTGATTGACAAGCAAATGGCATGAAATTTACTTCGTTTTGGGAGGGAGGGGTTGATGTAGATAAGTTTATCAAAATATCATATTACTGGATTAACATATTAATTAATGGTACATTGTGTAATAACTTATGCATAATATGTAGGAGGTGGAGAACAAATCACAGAAGTAATGAATGGAGAGGTCAATGGAGTGAATGGTAAAGCTGACGAAGATGCCACTGAAATGACAAATGGTATCCAAACTATAGATGCAGGTATATACTGACTAAGTTAGCTGATCAGTTTTATATTTCCAGGGGACAGGGTTTCATTATTTTGGGTTTCTTCAACTTAACATTAACAGGGTTGTCACTAAGATTGTAAGTCGCCAGGTAAATACAACAAATAGGCAGGGAATCAAAAAGCTAGGGATTTCTTTTGGTTTAACTTTTCTTCTAGTTTCCTATGAAAGTGACCGAGGGGAGTAGCTGGGGGAAATCCGTGGCCCCCAGTTCTTAATGACAGTTGTGATAAAAACTCTGACAATAATTATTACTGGAATATAGTAAAGTTAGTGTCTGTTAGAAGAGTTAACAACTCTGAATTATTTTTGTCTACCAACTCAAAAGTAGCAGTCAAGGCCTCTTCCCTCAATAAAGACAGGGAACTTAGAATACTACCATTTAACTGAAATATTTTGTGACAGAAATTTCTTATCGTAAATCAATAAGGAATTTGCAGTCATGTCTTTCATATATGTTACAGGTCAAAACTAAATTCAGTTTAACCTAGGTTGATTTTCAGTTTTTCATGCCTCCTTGTCTTAATTCATGAATCATTAGGACCAGGAGACAAAGGAATTTGACAGTCAACAGAGGTTAAAAAATTTTAACCTGAATTTCATTTTGACCTGCAAGGCCAAGGCCAATCTTCGACTGACAATGTCTGACGTCTGACTCAGCTAAGTTCATCTGAATGAGTTTGGATCATCCAACACGTTCTATCCGTCTGCTTCACACGAATAGAACATCTGGAGATCATCTATGGAACAAACGTCAATCTTCACATGCAACGAACTAAACAAATAAATTTAAAATTTGTATGACGACATATATTGAACTTCATTCAGGAGAAACTTTATTGATGCCTGGCTAAAATTGCTTTTTAGCCTGATTCAGTTGATTGGTTTGATACGTCCTAAGTTCGATGTCTGACCCAAAAGATGATCTTAACTTTATTGCGGTTACATCGAACTTTTCATGAGACAATCTAAACATAATGAGTTACATTCATAAAAAGTTCGATGTCTGACTCAGCTAAGTTCATCTGAATGAGTTTGGATCATCCAACATGTTCTATCCGTCTCCTTCAAATGGATAGAACATCTGCAGATCATCTATGGAACAAACGTCAATCTTCACATGCAACAAAC